CTGCAGCAAGATTACTAAGAAAGATCAAATGGATTAAACTCAAAAGTGTTAAAATTAAAGATGGATACTTGTTCCACGCCTACCTGTTTAATACAAGGGTACTGAGGGCCTCTCCATCAACATCTTCAGCAATAATAACTAAAGGCTTGCGGTGATTATTGGCAATTTCAAGAGCTGGTACTATGGACTGAACACTAGAAATCTTCTTTTCACTGATTAACACGTAAGCATCTTGGAATTCACATTTCTGTCCTACAGATGAAAGCAACGTTGTTGAAATAAATTACAAAGTACTCTCTCAAGAGACAGTGACTATGAACATTCCTCAGTTTCTAATCCTATCATAGCCATTATGCAGCCACCTTCTCTGAAACGCTTCAAAAAACAAGCAGACTTTCAATGGTCCCTAACAGACAACTTTTCTTTGAACTTGGAGCTGTTAAAATGCTACCCAAGGACATGCAAAAACAGGGCCATTAATTCTTGCAAAATTGAATTTTAAGATTAAGATAGTATACTCTGGTATAATGCTACAGAGTTTGTTTACCTAAAACCAGTAACATACAGTATTTCAGTTTAATTCAGGGATGGGCAGAAGCTAGATCAGGATCTACTGGTAGATCTCTCCGTGATCTGCAGATGATCAAAGACTTCTGGCTTCCAAATTTTTAACAATGATGTAACGGTCAAAACAAAACAAGCTTTTTCAACTTCCTTCTAAATTAGGCTGCTTGAAATGAAGGAAGCTTGGGAGAAATATAATTTGTTACTTGTGGGAAAGATTAAAGCTGGAATTTGTGAGGCAGCTTCATCAGCAACAGCATGCAAAAGGGCAAACGTGTTACATACCTAGAGTTTTCCATTAAGAACCCTAAGAGGTTCATTAAGGTTTGGATCGTGAGATTAAGTTCCTGACAAGTGACATGGGGAGCTCTCACCTTTCCCTGCATGTTTATCCGTATGTACAAACCACATCACATGCCAGAAAAGGTGACACAACTTGTGCCACAGATCTAATTCTGTAAATTAGGGAGTGGGTTCTAGTATTTGCAGACGCCTCTATTTTGAGGCAAAAAGGAACACATTACTAAGATTTTTTTAAAACTGCGTTTAGTCTATTCCAACAGAACCAAGCTGTTAAGGCAAACGAGCAGCGGGAGTCTTGTGTTCTGACTTACCTTTGGCTGTATTAATGAAGTAGGGAGAGATGTAGCCTCTATCAAACTTCATGCCTTCAATAATTTCTAATTCATCATTCAAAGTTTTTCCGTCCTGTTTTTTTTAAAAAAGGTCATGAAAATTAGCCACACCCTGTGCGCACAACCCATCTCAGAACAAGCTGCTTCATTTTCTGTTTTAGATCTTTGGCTCCCCCATAATGGTGCACTTTTTCTACAATGATGAGGTCTTTTCCTCCACAACGAGCTAGTATCCTATTTTGGCATACAATAAGTAGACCTTCGGACGTGGGTGGCACTGTGGGTAAGAGCCTCAGCGCCTAGGGCTTGCCGATCAAAAGATCGGCGGTTCGAATCCCCGTGGCGGGGTGCGCTCCCGCTGCTCGGTCCCAGCGCCTGCCAACCTAGCAGTTCGAAAGCACCCCCGGGTGCAAGTAGATAAATAGGGACCGCTTACCAGCGGGAAGGTAAACGGCGTTCCGTGTGCTGCGCTGGCTCGCCAGATGCAGCTTTGTCACGCTGGCCACGTGACCCGGAAGTGTCTGCGGACAGCGCTGGCCCCCGGCCTCTTGAGTGAGATGAGCGCACAACCCCAGAGTCTGTCAAGACTGGCCCGTACGGGCAGGGGTACCTTTACCTTTAAGTAGACCTTACTAGAGTTACCCTTACCTTAACTGTGATAACACCTTTTCGTCCAACTTTTTTCATGGCATCAGAGATTATGTTGCCAATTTCCTTGTCGCCATTTGCAGATATTGTAGCAACCTGTCCAAAAAAAAGAGAGGTCTGCTTGAACTAGCTACAAACACTACCTTTTTTAAAAAAAGAGGCTGGGGTATCGAAATCATAGTCACAGAGGCATTACAACGCAAATTTAAGGAATAGTGCCTAAAACGTTTTCTCACAGATACAATATTGTTGAATGGAGTGAAATCTTACATTTAGCAAGCCCTCTTAAACGGTGCACCCACACAATATACAAGTAGCAGGGAGATGGAAGATGTTTGTTTTACGAAAGAGATAGCATTTACCTGAGCAATTTCTTCCGGAGTTGTGACTGGTTTGGACAACTTCTTCAATTCCTCAATTACAGCATCTACAGCGAGCATCACCCCTGAGGGAACACGGTACAGCTATGCAATTAAACAATCTACATAGTCAACAGCAAACAAAACTTAACCATCGTACTATGCTCCAAGAGCAACAAAAAGGCTATAAATGATCATGCAATGCATTATCCCTGACTGCTGGTATGCAGTTATCCCATCAAACACCAGGAAGAGATAGGGTCCACACATGTCATAGAGCTGCCTCTTCCCCTTCCCTGCATCATGAATTTCTCCCCCAAAAAGCATTCACTAGGAGGGGTTCTTCACCTAGGAAATCTGATGCCATGGAGGTTCACTCGAATCTGTCTCTGCTTAAAAAGGCAAGAGCAGAAGGCAGAACCAAAAATGCAACTTCCATAGTGCCAGGCAACAAAAGGCAGAGATAGGAGGTAAGATGAAGATGCAATTTGCTTATTAAGACTGCCTATCTGTGGGCATGCGCTACTCATTTTGGACAGTAACTGTTCCTCCTACCCTGCCATGCAGTCAGACCTTCAGGGTCTTAATCCTCAACACACTTGTTTCATGCTGTTGAAGACGACCACAAAAGCATTTTATAAAAGACCGATAAAAGCCCAGGTACCATTACGCACAGTAAACAACACATAGCGCAAGTTGTCGCCAGAAACAATATACAAAAATTCACTGACCAATGTGCTTTAACAGGAGTCACAATATATTGTTAGTATTTTCATTCTCACATTGCTGTTTGATCTCATGATCCACATTCCATAGTAACAGGAGTGTGGGAACAGAACTCAGACACTGTAATTCCGTTCTATGTGCTTTTGTACTTTCTCTCTTTGTTCTCTGCTTTCAGACAGAGGAGACGTGTGTGAAGCTGCTGCTCACACTCAACCATGTTTGTTTTGATCTGCTGTAAATAAAGAAGCTTTTGCAATGCCAAATACCTACAGACTCCCTTCTTGCTGATACTCTGGTAACGCTAATAGCATGCCCACAGCTCCACTGGATGTGGGTCGCTGGACACCTGCGTAAGAGGAAGGGATGTACGCATATCTATGACCAGAAAATTAGACACCCCACTTCCCATTTTCTTTTCACAAAAGTAGCGCATTGTCATGTTTCTGCAACATTGGTACATACAGTGGTACCTCAGGTTACATACGCTTCAGGCTACAGACTCCGCTAACCCAGAAATAGTGCTTCAGGTTAAGAACTTTGCTTCAGGATGAGAACAGAAATTGTGCTCCGGCAGCAGGGGGCCCCATTAACTAAAGTGGTGCTTCAGGTTAAGAACAGTTTCAGGTTAAGTACAGACCTCCGGAACGAATTAAGTACTTAACCCGAGGTACCACTGTAATTTGAAAACGAATTCCAAGATAAACAAGGAAGATAACTAGAGGAATTGGCATGTGTGAGCCAACATTATCCACATCATTACCTCTCCTGATCTCCACTGGATTTGCTCCTTTGCTGATCATTTCAAACCCCTCCCTGGCAATCGAACGTGCCAGTACCGTTGCGGTCGTAGTACCGTCTCCCGCCTCTTCATTGGTATTGTTGGCAACATCCTGAACTAACTTGGCTCCAATGTTTTTGTACTTGTCCTTCAAGTCAATTGACTTGGCTACTGTCACGCCATCTTTCGTCACCTTAGGGCTTCCCCAGCTCTGTTCAATAATTACTGTTCTCCCCTGTAAAAACATGACACACACACACACACACACACAATGAAACACTGGATTACTAGGGTAATTTCTTCCTGAGGCTGGAAGCCGCAACGCTTTCCAGGAAGGCAGATATGCACTCTCCCTAATACAATGTACGTGTATACATTGCCTCCAACAATGTCTTGCATCGATTTCAACAGTGCAACAGACTCCCTTGAAAGATGGTGGACTCTCCTTCCTTGGAGATTTTTAAGCGGAGGTTGGATGGCCATCTGTCATGGATGCTTCAGCCAAGATTTCTGCATAGCAGGGGTTGGACTAGAGGACCCTCTGAACTCTACAATGTCATGATTATAGAAGATTAGAAGAGCCTGCTGTATCAGGTCAACAGCCCATCTAGCCAAGCATCCTGTTCCCCCAGTGGCCAACCAGCTGCCTGTGGAAGGCCCATAAGCATCTGAGCACAAGAGTACTCCCCCTTCCTGTTGTTTGCAGCAACTGGTATTTGGAAGAATTATGACCTCCAGCTGTGGTGGTAGCAAATCAGAACCACTGGGGGTAGCAGCCATTAATAGCCTTCTCCCCCCATGAATTTGTCCACCCCTCTTTTAAAGCCATCTGAATTGGTGGTCATCACTGCCTCCTGCAGCAGCAAGTTCCACTAGTTTAACTGTGTTGTGTGGCTTGCAGTGTTGATGCACAATCTGGCTTTGGCTAACATTTATAGACTTCCCCCCCAGATGATCCCTTAGTAAGCAGAGAGCTATGTCAAGATGCTTGATATACACATGGAACCAATGTTTACAGCTCTGAACTTCAGGTTTTACATACATACATGCAAAAATATTTTTAGCAGGCATTCAACTAATGTTGAATGAAGTATTTACACTTGCACAATGGAACTTCCTCCCCCGCACCAAAAAAAAATCTGTTTTAGGGGCTCCCTCTACCTTTTAGAACAGATATGGGGATAGCTAGTGCTCATGCAAGTGGGACGGACATTCTGCTACATAAACACAATTTTTTGCTCTACCAGGACCCTTGTAAAACTTCACTGTATGATATTTATTTATGGGACACCTGTCAAGCTACTAATCATTCTGAGTGCTCACGGGTTGCAGAACACTGAGCGTAGACATAGCTTGTTCCTCTCTGCCACCTATTGACACAACCGCAGCACATCAGCCACGGCTGCAACGCCTGTAGGGGCATATTATATAGCAATATATAATATTTATTTATCCGTACACATGGTGCATTTGGAACAACCCATGAACGTTGGAGGGAAGCAGCAGCAATATCTTATGTAAGGAAGTGTGGGCACAGATAATGTGAATGTAAAGGAATAGTTCCATTTAATCTGCTGGTATAGAGAACACAAAATGTAAATTAGTTGTTCGTTACCGTGTGGCTTTTATACCTAAACTCTGTTGTTCTTGTACCTTATTTTAACTTTTTCTAAGAATTTGTCTGCAAATCACCTTGTCATATCTATCATATTAGTAAAAAAATAATAATGACCAGCTCTGAGGACATCAGAGGAACTGCATAAAACGGAGGCCCACCAATTCCGATTAGCCTTGGTAACCAGCCAAACTTTCTGCTCACTGCTGGAAATGCCACTCTCTGAGGAACAAGGTCTTGCTTGACTAAGGTATTGTATGGCACAGCTGGGCTGTGGGAAACTTTCTAACTTTGCACTGAGCCAGAAAGCTCACCAAAGAAATTACCACCAGTTTTTTCCTGAGCCTCTCTGTTCAGTGTGAGGGCAAGGATAGCGACTGTCCAGAGTACTGATGGGACTTTTGCTCACTTGAAGCACATTTTACCAGTGATGAGCACATTTATGTACTGCTATAAGTGGACAATGGTGTGACTACAAAGGAGCAGAGGGATGTGTTACACAGGTGTAGGAAACTAAAGCAGGGAGCAGGAGAGGCAGGAAGAGCATGTGACTGAAGAGCAGTGAGTGTCTGCAATGAAGACGGACAGAGCTTTGGGATTGTTAATGGTTAACTGAGATACTTTACGTATTACTAAAGATTCATGTCTGTAGCATATTGCAAGGTTCCATCTAGAATACTTAGCCAGACTCCTTGCTGCTGCTTCCCCTGGCTGGCCTTAGAAGCCCAAAAGAAATTCAGATGAAGGCCACCTTGTGCACACACCTCTTGCAGCCCCTTGTCCAGCCTGAAGGTCTAGTCACCATTAAGGCAAAAAGGAGATCAAGTGAGTGATGCATTCTGCCTCTCTCAAACTAGCTATATATGCAGCTGCCATGTAGACTTGAAACCTTTGAGGATTTTAGCTCAAAGGAATAACAAAGTGAGAGAATGCATGAATGAACATGTCCCAACTATCTCATTCATCTACTTGCCAGGCAACAAATTCTAATTCGTGTCAAGTAGGTATGCCAGTGGCAATATATTTACAGGAATGCTCTAGCAAACTATTTTAAAGAGGACCCAAAGGACAAGGTCCAGTCAAAGTGAAGCACTTTTAAGCCCCAATGATTCCATTGGAAGGTTATTTAAGCACATGCTCACCTCTCTCACTGAAAAACCAGTCAGACCCCAAAGCTCTTAATTTTGACTGGATCGTACCCCAAGCACGTAGGATATATTTTGGACTATGCTCATCCCTTCAGCACAAGCTTCCGCATAACAGCAAGTAAAGCCATTTCATTACCTTTGGTCCCAAGGTGACGGCCACAGCATCAGCGAGAAGGTCAACGCCCTGGAGCATAAGAGCTCTAGCATCTGCTCCAAATTTAACTTCTTTTGCATAGGATCTCGTAAGGTGCGGGGCCAGTGCTCTGGACACCGGCCTTATCTGACGCAGCACTGTTGGTAAACGGAGCATTTCTGCAAACAAATGAAATTTTAAAAGAAATCAGTGCCAACACAGCCACTGCTTTATCTGGCACTTGCTAGAGAGCATTCCATGCCTGTAGCCATGTGCTCAGTCGCGACCATTGCTTGAAGGTACACTAAGTGGCTGAAGTCGTCTGAATGCAAGCACTTCCATTTGAAAATTGGCAACTGAATTACAGTGCCATGCATGACCGGCAACAGCCATAAGAATCGGAGTTGGAAGGGACCCCGTGGATCATCTAGTCCAGGAATAGGCAAACTCGGCCCTCCAGATGTTTTGGGACTGCAATTCCCATCATCCTGACCACTGGTTCTGTTAGCTAGGGATGATGGGGGTTGTAGTCCCAAAACATCTGGAGGGCCGAGTTTGCCCATGCCCGACCTGGTCCAACCCCCTGCAATGCAGCAATATGTACCCATATGGGTTGCTCATTTGAAGGTCCCTCAGGTGGCACAATGACTGTTAACCAGAAGGTGTCAAGCCCACCTAGGGACAGCTGTGGGCAGGATTTGGGGCTCCTCCCAACTCCAAAGTTCTATAATTTTATGTGCTAACACCGATTAACCCTGTACGCTAGCATAGGACACTTAAGGCCCTCCAGATATTGCTGGACTACTGCTCCTTAACCACTGCCCACGTTGGGTGCAGTTAATGAATGTTAGGAGCATAAGAAAAGGAGGGAACCAGGTTTCACAACCCTGGCATACATATTTATCCTGAGGGAGAAAGTACAGTATTATATAATTTCAGCACTGATTTCATTTCAACAGAGTGCATGTGCGTTTTAGCACATATATACACATGATCAGAACTACTGAGCAAACACTTGTTTAATGGGGCATATCTAGATAGCTCAGTTGGTTATGAAAATGCCAAGCTTGCAGGTCTGATACCCATACAGGGAACTGCATATCCTTGCTTTTTTCAGGGCATTCGTCTCGATGACCCACAGGGACCCTTCCAACCCTAGGGTCCTACAAATCGGAAGGGGTATCCTATTGATTCCAATTAGTTACCTTGATGTTAAGTTTCAATGCAAAGGAGCCGAGGGAACTACAATACTGAACTAACCAAACACCAGGAATAATGGAGATAGGGAAACTGCTCAGGTCATCAAGGAAAAGCCAATTAAAGAAAAAGGGGAGGTCGGGTGGGATGGAATGGGTGGGAGAGAGGAAAGAGGCCTCAGGAGGAGAAAACAGGGAAGAACAAAGTTCAATGAACAAGCCCAGCGTATCCTTTGCCCCCCACACGTGCTCCTTCCTACCATCAGGTCGGCACACAAGGTCATGCGGACCCACGCCTCCCCCTGCCGCCAGGAGGGCAGCGCTGCAATGAAAGGGGAAGGCTGACTTTGGCCCACCTTCCCCACCAGGGGGGAGGTGGGGGTGGGAAAGAGAAGGGAGCAGCCCCACCTTTAACGTGGAGGAAAAAACGCGACAAGGTCTCCTTCAGCAGCAGCTTCACCAGGGAAGTCGCAGAGGGGCGCCAGAGCACGTGCACCAGTCCCAAGCAGCCTCTACCCGCCTCCCTACGCAAAAAAGGGCCTTGAAGGGTTGTGATTTATTTTTTGGGGGGGGGAAGGTTCAGCCTAAGCGGAAACCGTCAAAGCGGGGATCGGACCTCGGCATGGAAGACTCGCAGGTCCCGCCCCTCCATCTCCCAACACACGTGTGACCGCATTCGCACGACAGGGGAGCGGCGAGAATAAAGGCGCTCGGCCTGAAGGAGAGGTCTGGCGTGGCTGCTGCAAAGGCCGCTTCTCCCCCCTGATAAATGGGCTCTCTCTCCCGCTACCCCCGCCACGTCTCTATAAAATCATGGACTGAGGCACGCGTCGTTGCCCCCCCCCCAATAAGGAGTTTCCTGATCCCATCTACCCTTTCCCCTATGGGGACTAAACCACCTTGTGCGGCGGGGAGGGGGGTGGTCAGGAGACCATGCGGGGAGGAAAAAAACGTTTTCACGCACAGGACCCTCCCCGCTCCCATTGGTCAATCTCTTCCTTTCCTCTCTCCTTCGCGCCCCCCCCCCCGCCGCTTACTCTTTGGCGGCGGCTCTGCGCTGGAAGCGGTTGCAGTACGAACGGCAGCGGGCTCGGCTCGGACCGCACGCGCACAGCCTGGGAAGCAGCGCGGCTCTCTCGCGACTCTCCTCCGCCGCCCCGCCCCTTCCTCCTCCTCTCTCCAGAGCCCACGTGAGAGCTTGGCGCGGAAGGGAACCCGGGAACCAGCCTGGCGGCATAACCCTCGCGCCCCGCCCCATCCTCGCCTCGGGAGCAGGAGACGTCAGGGGTGGGCTGAGTGGGCGGGGCTCTCTCGCTTGGAGCGCCTGCGCTATGCGCTTGGACGGGTTTCAAAACGTAAAAGGCACGGCGGGCGTTTATGCCTTGCGCAGGTTCCCGGGCCCCGCGGTTCCAGAATTTTCTGGAATGCCCATGCTCGCGAAAGGTCGCGCGGGGCGTTGCGTCACCTCCGCTCCCCTTCGCCCTCGCTCAAGATGGCGGGAGTGTCGCCTCACGCCCACAAACCCGAGCACCTTATCTGGGTTTTTTTTTAAAAAAATAAATCTGGCTCACGGCAAGTAATGAGAAAGCGCGAACCGAAAAAGTTTTAAAGTCTATCCCAACTATTCTCCCCCGCCCCCACTACGCCTCAGCTAACCGCCACAGGAAGTAGTTTCCCCGCCATTTCCGGGGCAAGGTCTGCGCACGCGCGGGCCGTGACCCTTTCCGCGCGTGCTAGCTCTGTGGGTCGGTCAGGGGTGCAAGGAGTCCTCGCAGCGGGAGCAGGAGCCCTTGTAAAGCGCGCGCCATGGTAAGCTGCTCGCGCTTTCCTCTCGAGAAGTATTTGCAAAGGGTTGGGAAGAATAATCCGTATTTCCTTCTTTCTCCCCCTCCCTCTCATTAATGCAACTCTTGAGTGTCTCTCTGTCTCCACCCATTCACGATGAAAGGTGTTCTCCTGTAAAATAGGCAGAAGGGGACCCCCCAGTGGGGTTCAGTTGGCTGCCGAAGGGTGGGGCGGCCCCGGTGCAAAAGTGCATAGCCCAGGGCAAGGGAGAGTGGACGCCTTCCTAGAATGGTAGAGGCGGAAGGTTTCCCCAGGGTCATCTAGCCTAGCCCCACCCCACACAGTGCAGGAGCCTCCACGTGATGCACGTATGAATGGACTGCACGCAGCTCGCCTCCACATGGCGGGAGGCGGACGAGGCAAATCCCTGGAAGAGTAACTCCATAGCGTTAGCTGTTGTTAGTGTAGAGGGGTAGCTCAGTTCGTAGAGCGTGAGACTCTCAGGGTCATGGGTTCAAACCACACTTTGGGCAAAAGATTCCTGCATTGCAGGGACTGAGAGTAGCTGATCCTCGTGGTCCCTTCCAACCCTTGGTAAAGTACACACGTGCAGCATGGAAGTACAGGGATTCAAGCCCATCGTACTTTTCCAAGTCCTGAAGGGGTGTGAGGTTTGCCTCCTTGACCCTGTCTTCCCCAGTATATGAAGGAGTGGTTACTTACCAGTCAATCAAATCTGACAACACCATGTGCTCTTTATTCTTCCTTATTATCTTATCCTTTTATCTTCTGAATCTCTTGACTGTGAGTGACAGGAATGTCCTTTGCTTTGCAACAAGTTGTATCTATTGTGTGGTGCAGTGTGCAAATTGCAAAGTCAGTTTTTTTGCTGTATCAATCGTTGACTGTTACTGAGAGTGGATAGTTGTTGGTTCAGTAGTGCTGCAAAGGAAAGGAATTACTGGGCAAGCGACAAAATAATGGGAGATGAGATGAATCCTTATCGGATCAAATTAGTTGATTTAAGCTAAATCCCTACAGCACAATCCTAACCATACCTACTCAGAAGTAAGTCCTATGGGACTTGCTCCTCTGTAGCAGTCTCCTTGCTCATAATAGTGTAGGAGCATGCAGGGATTGTTATTGCCAATGTGATGGACTAATCTAAAGCAATTTGGTACCAGTTGAAAGAGTTGGTGCTGACAATATGCTCTTACTAAGATGTTAACCAAAGTTTGTGTAGAGTCCAAGTATTTTTGCACAATGTATTGTAAATTCCTAACCCTAGAGAGGTTTCTAGCAAAAGCTTTACTGACTTGTATCCAAATAGGTGGCTGACACTCTTTTTTATTTTTACTTATTAATATTTGTTGCTGAAGGGACATACTTGTTAAATCTCTTAATAAACTGTAATTTATTGAGGATGGGTTTTCAGATGTTTTAAAGTCTCTTAATCACTCGTCTTCAGTGCTGCATCTGCACTGCAGACTTGAAATTGGATTCTGTGGAAATAAGTCAGTGGGACTCGCTCCCAGGTAATGGAAATACTTTAATTGCTGGTTACATTTAGGTAATTCCTTCTCTGGTTCCATTGTCCATTTGCTTAGCTTGTTCGAGAAGACTTTCAAATTTCCTTCTGCAGTAGCGACCTCTAGTGTCCAAAGAGTACAGATAAACCCAGGCCTTCTCCTGGTTTCTAGCTGTTTCTGTAAGTGTCCATGCTGGATATCTTTGGAAACCACGAGAAGGCCGGGAAAGTGAGCCAGCGTCATGTGATCTGGCTAGCTTCATTTTAGCACTCTCTGGTTTTCTATTAACTCCGACATAGTTGCTCTTCAACCCATACATAGTTGCCTGCTTAAAAATGTGGATTTGTTTTGCATCTAGCCTTGCAAAAAGCTTCCTTTTAAATATGAAATTGAATACTGTATGTTGCTTTTTACAGAAAGTAGTAGAAGTACACCCTTTACTATTTTAATGCTTCCAGATCAAAACATTCTTGGATAAAATGTTTTGGTTAATGGGTAATATCTAAAATTGCATGAGAATATTTCCCTTCTTTTCCTCCATGCCCTCCAAGTTTGCCCCAGAGTCCTCAAATCAGAACAGAATTGGGGTTATGAGGGAACAAGAGGAAGGGGTATTCAGTTGTGCAGGCGAACTTCCAGTGCACCAGTGGGTGGGCACAAGTAGATGGCCTCCCAAAAAAACTGTGTTAATAATGTCCAAAGTTCAACATGCTTTACACTGCGGAATGTTAATTTACATTTCTTGCTGTTAAACATTTTCTTGTGGTGCTATCGTTTAACTTGAACTTAAGGTTCCTATTGATGAGCCTTGCATACCTTTCTGTGATATAATTTGGTTGCCCTAATAAAGCTATTACACTAAATTGAATGTTGGTAGATTTTCCCGTGGTATCTGTAAGTTTCTAAATCACTAAAGCTTGGAAGTTGTCTGAAAGCCATTACTACAGGTATGCCTATTCTTCCAATTTGAAACACATAAGCAATATAACTCTCTACCTTTCATTTCTATCTTCCAGTCACATCCTTGTGCAAAATTTATTTATTCCAATGTAGTTAATACTGTTTTAAATAAGATCACCTGGGTATATTTAAATAAGGTTGGTATTCTTTTTATAGGGAAGATGGCTTTTAAAGATAGCTTTTTCTGCAGAATTCTTCCTTTGAACATGATCTGTGGAGTGAGACTCATTTCTTAACAGCATGCGATGCCAATAATTTTGGTGTTGGTTCACATTCATGATGTCCTTTATTTGTAGAAAGGAGTCACTGAGTAATTAGGAAGCATGTATCTTAAGATCATGTGTAAAAAAACCCTACACAAAGTATTTAACTTTTTCTTGAAGATGCTTTACCTAAAATGTACTGACATGTGTAACACTTCATTGGCCATAATGGGGATTGTATATATGTAACTATGTTTTTTCCAGATTTTTCCTTATTTCCCCATCATTCCTTTACTGTGGTGCAAAAGTGGTAGAATCACATGTTTGCCTCTTCAGATGACAATGTGCTTGTGGCTGAGAGACTCAGGTTTGCTTATTGGTACATTATGACTTGTGATTTGTTTTAACAGGCAGGACAGGCATTTAAAAAATTTCTTCCCCTCTTCGACCGTGTATTGGTGGAAAGGTGTGCAGCTGAGACAGTAACTAAAGGAGGCATTATGATTCCAGAAAAATCACAAGGAAAAGTGTTGCAAGCCACTGTTGTGGCAGTTGGAACAGGCTCTAAAAGCAAGGTAAGCAGACCTTTCCTATCAAAGCTTTTTATAGCTTTTCAGATAAGAAACATGAGATTTCTTAGTGCTCCAGGCAAAATCACCTCTCCGCTCTACCTCAAGCATCATGAGCAGTGTGGTACAGTGGCAACAGCTTTCTAATTAACATTTCAAGGTGTGATTATCTGCTTGCTGCTCTCCTAGGCTTTTCTCCCCCAGCTGTTTTTCTGCCTTTCCTCACTTGCACATCAGCATCATCATACGCCTCTTCTTTCCTCAACCACCACTATGATCCTTTCCCCCAAGTTCTTCCACTATTTGAGAAAGAATTGGAATGGGCAGTGGCCATTTACTGTCTGGCATGTCTTTATAGCACAGAGCTAATGGTAGCTGAACTCCTTGCTTTTCTTAGTGATAAGGCCTGTAATGCTGTAACTCAATGCAAACTTATCCGTAAGTCCCATTAAATGTAGCACAACATTGTCTCCAAGCAAACTTTCATAGGATGTGGATGTAAGATTGGAAGAAAGAAAGAATTGGGTTTTTTTGTGCATGTAACAGATGTATGTTATGGAGCATCCTAGTGCCCTCCAGTTGTTGCTAAGCTGCATCTCCCATCATCCCAGCACTTGACTGTGGCTGGCTGGTGTTGATAGGAGTTGGAGAACAAAACATCAGGTTGGAGGCCACTGTGGAGGTTGTGTTGAGCGCTTTCTCTTCCAGCCACTTTTTGTGTCTGGTTTTGGGAGGAGGCAAAGGGCACTCATCTAAATGCATTTTACTTGCCTCCTCCTGTTGGGTAAGTGGCTCATAAACGGTCTCTGTGGTGTTTATTTACTTTGTACTTCACAACTGGACACCTCTTTCCTTTCCTCTCTGCGTGTACCCTCAAAATCTGTACCAGGTGTGTGTATCCTGGAGCAGTTTTTGAGGGCGTGTAGTTACATTGTGCATGCAGAAGCATGCCAAGCTAGTGGAACAGTAGTGTTGATGCAGCCCTGTATTTATATTTTGCCTTTGTGCCGAAAGCCTGGGAAGATGCTCTGTGGGTAGGTGGTCCCAGTAATCTGTTCTGGATGGGGTTGCGGTACGTAGCTTGTGGGTACTCCTGGATACATCTTTGTCATTGGAGACTCATGTGACCTCTGTGACTTGTGAGTGCCTTTTACCAGATTTGCTTAGTTTGCCAGCTACGGCCATATCTAGATTGGGATCACTTGACCACCATGCACTAGTAGCCCAGAGATTGGAAGCTCCAGCTAATGCAATATTGCAGCTGCATTTCCACTACAGAAAACATTTTAAGAGCATTGTAACATACATTGTCAGTAACTATTCTTTGTCCCCTTAAGGAGGGAGACACTCGTCCAGTTAGTGTAAAAGTTGGGGAGAAGGTTCTGCTACCGGAGTATGGTGGAACAAAAGTTGTACTGGATGACAAGGTTAGTATGTGAATTAAATTTCTATACTGTATATTATACTCTGTATGCCACTTTTATACTTGCTTAAACTCTTATTTTATAAACAAAGCCAAAAGCAGTGCTTCTCTTAATTTTATGGAAGATCACATACATTTCGTTAGAATCTTCATGTCCTTTCCCAAGGAACCTCAGTGGTCTGCTCACCTAATTCTCATATACCTAATAGTTTCCATATGCTATGTTCCGAGATATATGCACACTGCCTCAGTCTCTGCCTACCTTCTATAAACATTTCATTGCTTTCCTTCATCTCCATCCAGAAGTAACTGCATCTGGAATAGCCACTGTCCTCTTTCTGCAACCCCATTCCTTTGTTGTGGGAGGTAGAGAAGAGATTTTACTGCTTTTAGGCCTGTTACCAAGAAGTAATGAAACACATTTGTGACTTACCTCCTTGGGGAGAAACCTGAGTATGGAACAGGCAAGACTCGCCCCTTGTAGCCACTGCAGTAATTTCCTTGTGGTTTAACTTGCCTGTATTGGAATAGAAGTTTGCTAAGTGTGTGACTTGCATTTCAAAAATAACAACCATTGCACAAATTCTAGCATTTGTATGTACTATTTTAGGGCCAAACCATCTGTGGAAATAAGTTTGCAAACCAATGTAAAGTGGGGGGAAGTTAAAAGTTTATGTATATGTATGTAAACCTTAGGTGAGATTTAAAATCTCAAGAGTACATGGGTCTTTAATAGAAGAATTCCAGCTGAATCTCTTAATTTTCTTTTGAACCCCTGTAAACTATTCCAGACAATTCATCTGAAGTCTGTCTTGGGGGAATTCAAGCCCCTTTCAGAGCAATAGCAATGATGAAGTAGAAGAACTGTCCTTGGGTTAATATTTGTATAGCACTGATCCAAGGACATGTCATAAATCTCTGTGTTGGAAGAGCTTCAGTGTTTCAGCTTTTGAACTACTTAATTGTTTATCTTTAACATGGACAAATTTGTTTTCTTTATTTGCAGGACTATTTCATATTTAGAGATGGTGATATTCTTGGAAAATATGTGGACTGAACAGTTCATCTAGCTGCGTTATCATTAAGTTTTCATTCCACAAAAAGTGCTCAAATGGTTCTGTTCCATCATGTAAATAATTTCTTTATTTTCTAATAAATGCAAATTCTCCCAAATTACCAAGTATCATTGTGACTTCAAAATAAAACAATGTGTATAGCCAAAATACATTTCTTACTATCTTATTCTGTGTGTTCTGTTGTTTTTTTAAAAAAAATACTTAGAGCAGCTTGCCGGCTAATTAAGTAGCCAAAGCATTTCAGGATGAAACAGTGATGGCTTGTGATTTTTTTTTTTTTAAGCTATAGACTAGGAGCCAAAGAACCATGAAACCAGTTTGGGGTTTAGTTTCATGCCTCCCCCAAAAAATCCCTCCTGTGCTGCATTACAGCCTTCTTTACATCATGCCATTACGACGTGGAATACTAAAGAGCTTTTTGGACCAATTTCTCCATCTTTAGAAAAACAAAAACAAAGCATCAGAATGCTTGGAGAGTTCACAAGTCGAGTATAATTATCCCTTAAACAAGTCAATGAATAAAATAATTTCTTCCAACCTGGAAAACATCACATTTCTCACTAGGAGCTACTGGTGCACAAACTCAAAATGGCCATGCTATTGCGCTGTCACGGAAGGGTTACCAGCATTTGAGGGAAATAAAATGTGCAATTCTTTAAAATTAGGGATGTAAAACAGTTTCCAGAAAAGCTACTGTGTTCTGTTCAAAATGCTGCACGCCAGCAAATCGAAAAAGGGGAAGCCTATCCAGTATTGAGAAAACCAAAATAGCTTTGTCAGGCAAATATAAAATGATGACACCTACTGGTCGGCTCCAGACATCATTGGAGGATGCTGATTATCTGGATCTATTCTAGTTTGGTGTCGAGCTCCAGTTTGGAACTGAAACAGCCTTGTTTAGTGTAGAGGGGAGTGCAACTTTGTTTATTCTCTTGGATTTCTCGGTGGCTTTTGATACTGTAGACACAGTATCTTATTGAAATAACTTTGTGAGTTGAGAGTGGAGGGCACTGTGTTGTTCCTAATTGCAGGGCTGGTCTCAGAGGTCAGCATAGGGAGGTTTCCGTTCAGCCCCATGAAAACTAATCCCTGCGGTCCCACGGGGTTCTGTTCTGTCCCCTGTTCTCTCTATATGAAACTGCTATATGAGGTCATCAGAAAATTTGAAGTTTGGATGCCACCAATATGTGGAAGTGGGGTGTTTCCTAGGTCTGGGAATCTGGGGGCCACCTGTTTTTTGGGGGGGTTGCACATACCCTGAAGGAACAGTTACATTATCTAGGACTGTTCCTCAATACCACTTAGTCACTGGAGCCAGGGGTCTTGGGTAATATGGAGTGCCTATGCCCAGGTTTCGCTGCTGCTAGCCATTCCTGGACAGGGATAGCTTGGCCACAGGGATTCATGCTCTGATGACCTCCCATTTTGACTGATGTAATGATTTCTCTCAAAATGTTTAAAGGAGTGAAAAGAAGTGGGAAATACTTTTGCCCTAAAAACAAAATGGAGGAAGGCATGCAGAGATAATATAAGGCACATCAAGACCCAGACCTGCAAATCACAATAACAAGAGGCTTGAAAATGAAATGCAAAAGTTTGACACTGAAATAATGCTCTTGATGAATGAGAAACCTGATTTAGAATACAGTGGTACCTCGGGTTAAGTACTTAATTCGTTCTGGAGGTCCGTTCTTAACCTGAAACTGTTCTTAACCTGAAGCACCACTTTAGCTAATGGGGCCTCCTGCTGCCGCCGCACTGCTGCTGCACGATTTCTGTTCTCATCCTGAAGCAAAGTTCTTAACCCAAGGTACTGGGTTAGTGGAGTCTGTAACCTGAAGCGTCTGTAACCCGAGGTACCACTGTATACTTGCTTGACTAGAGAGCAGATGGGGAGAGCAATCCAAATGATGGAAATCCAACATGTGAATTCTGCCCCGGTTAAAGCAACAGCATTCAAACCCTAATTGGCAGCTGAGAAGTTGAGCTCAGTGGAGGCCACAAATACACCCAGAACCTCTACCACCTACCCCACGGTAGACCCCTTCCCAACTTCCATAAAGGAAGGGAAAAAGGGGGAAGGAAAATTTGGGAATCTTTCCTTCTGTGTACTTAACAGTATCTAAGCCACTATGTTTGGGATTCAACTGCCAAGAAATAAAGAGCCTCTCCCTTGTAAATTATGGGGGGACATGATGCACAAGCTATGCAGAATGTTATGCGCAACAGCTGAGAATGTTATATCATCCACTGCAAGGCTATATCACAGAGAACAAGGCCAGTACTGTTTATTTGAAACTGGCTTATGGTTTAGTGGTTGATAGGTCAGCTTCAGGAAGGGCATTGCTGCGAACCATGATTCTCTTTAATTATGGATCACAACCAAAATATATTTTACACCTCCCTTAAGAGCAGGGATAGTCAATATTTAAAGGAATTTATGAGGTGCATGTGGAGAGGGAGAGAAAAAAAGTTCCAACGCCATAAACAAATCCAAAGCATGGGCCCAGGATTCAATAAACTACATTTAAAATACATAAACTGTATTTTAAAGTATTGCCAAAGAGCTTGGGTTTTGCCTTTAACAGCACATATTGACACCGTTACTAATTTTGAAAAGTTTCCTCATCATCAAATAGATTTGCCATGTGGCATGGGTGAGGGGATTCTATTCAAGAAATGCTATCTGAACCCCACCCTCCAAGTGTGCAGAACTTTATGGGTGGGTGTTTGCTTTAATTCTAGAATGGTATGAATGAGGGCACTCCCTAAACTCCCGTGGCTCTGAATATCGTAGAATTTGAAGTGCTGTCTACTGAAATGAATGCAAATAAGTTGGAAATAAAAAAGACTTGCACCACAGATTTCCCAGTGTCATCAGATAACACAGCTGGATAAGAATGAAACTGTAGACTTAATTAGACTGAGAGGTCAGAAAGGTGCACCCACTTTCCCCTGCTTCTACCCAAACTTCCTTAGAAAGACGTGGACCACTGCCAGAAATTCAGGTTCTCATTGAAAGGAAATAATGACAAGTGCCTTGCTCCCTCTAGCTTTCTGTCAAGTAAATGTTTTACCCAGATTCCAGTTTGTTGTAAAGCAAAGGTATGTTTGTACATAGTCACCCTATTTCCCCATACATAATTCTCTCTTTTTAGCCACACTATACTGTAGGTGGTCTTCCAGATTGGTGCTCCTACACGAAAATACTAGGGTATTCTTTTAAACCATTTTGGATCCTATTAATATGCCAATGAGACCTAACACCTGTCCTCTTTATTAAATTAGTGTACTGTATAAAAGTAGCTGAGTTGGAATTGATCTAGCCAGAAACTGAAGTGGCACTGGAAACGCCTGTTTTTTGGTGCCAAGTCACAATGAAAGTTTTGTTCCCATAGTTTATGTTGCTCTTACAAATGTAAATGTAATAAGCAAAACAAGAAATTGATAAACTTGGTGTTGGACTGTTCTTTTACACACCTTGTCCCATTGTCTAGTCTGCCTGGCACATATGGTTATTATTCAGGTTAGTTTCCACCCCCCCCCAATTTTTAGGTGGAAATTTATTTATGGGGAGGGGGGTTGGTAGCTATTTTTATTAAAGAACAAAGTGAGTTCATGCGATTGCACTGCTTCAGTGACAGGAGTGCAAATAATTGTCAATTTCTGCAACACTTAAAATAAAACGCTTGATATAAGCCAAACCCTCTTCCATTCTAGAGTGAAAATGTGATCCTGATTAAACCAAAAGCCAGGCTCTCCCCTTTTTTTGTTATGGAATAGATCCACCAGAGCAACAAGTCAAATTTTAAATTTTAAACCCCAAACTTTCTTTGAATGTTACTTTACCTTTTATAGAAAGGTTTGATGCCAACAGATGAAAGCTAGGCTCCCTGACCTACCACTAAGGTTAGGAGCTGTGGCCAGTTTTCTGTCCGTGGTGAAGATCTTCTCAAGGGCAATTAATTCTGCTTGCTTTGCTAAACCAGCTCTGAAAAGCAAGCAAATATGAAAGGCCTTGGTGAGCAATGTTTTTTGAGAGGGAAAAGGCTGGGGTTTGGCCCTGGTGAATGATGGGAAGCTGTAGACATGTTTGGCATAGGCACTAAGGGTGTAGCAATGGTATATTTTCATAGACCAAAGTTATAAGATTTTGAGTTCACCCGTGCTTCTTCTAAAATGGAAAGGCTCCATTCAGAGGTTAAAAGGAAACACAGTTCTTAACTCTTATGACTCTTATTGTTAAGTTGTGGGCGAACATATCAGACGACACAGTGATTTTTCCAAAGCAGCTCTTTATTTGTAAGCTGGAACAGAACTGAACTGAGGAGCTCAATCAGCCTGCTTATATAGAGCTCCACTAGAATGCAACAGTAACCATTTTCTGTAACTAGCCAATCACTGAACGTCACTTTCGATCCTTCATTTGCATAACTATCTACAGTATCCCCCTGCTGGCCCAGGGTGAGAACTTCAGTACATAACACTTATGTTACAATGGACAGGCTAAGAAATGTGCTGGATTGACCACAAATAAAAGTGGATGCAATATTTCTGTTTACTGCTTCCTAGTTTCCCCCTTCAGATCAGCATTGTTCTCCTGAAGGCACATTCAAAAGCCCCTGAAATCCCAACTCAGACTAGGGCTGAAATCCCAACTCAGCCATGAAGCTTGTTCGCCAGGTGACCTTGGGGCAGCCACTGCCTCTCCACCTAACCTACCTCACAGGGTTGTTGTGAGGAGAGAATGGGGAGCCCTATGCACACCACCTCGAGCTCCTTGGAGGAAAAGTTGGTTATGTTGTACAGTGGTACCTCAGGTTAAATACGCTTTAGGTTACATACACTTCAGGTTACAGACTCCGCTAACCCAGAAATAATACCTCGGGTTAAGAACTTTGCTTCAGGATGAGAACAGAAATCGTGCTCCGGCGGTGCGGCGGCAGCAGCAGGAGGCCCCATTAACTAAAGTGGTGCTTCAGGCTAAGCACAGTTTCAGGTTAAGAACAGACCTCCAGAACGAATTAAGTACTTAACCCAAGGTACCATTGTAAATGGAATAATAATAATAATAATAATAATAATAATGTGCTATGTTTTAGAGAAGTGTCTGTGAGGTGACATGTTCTGGCCACTGCCTTGCCCTGTTGTCAAAAGTTAGCAAGGGCAGGTAGCATGGTCACAAACAATGACAAACACCTCCGCCTTTCGCTCCTCATTTCTGTCCAAAAACCTATTTGCACCAGTTGAACCAAAGGAGCATCTCCACCACCATCGTTCTGCCCGGACACTGAGGCCCAGCGCCGAGGGCCTTCTGGCGGTTCCCTCATTGCGAGAAGGTTACAGGGAACCAGACAGAGGGCCTTTTCGGTAGTGGCACCCGCCCTGTGGAACGCCCTCCCATCAGATGTCAAAGAAATAAACAACTATCTGACTTTTAGAAGACATCTGAAGGCAGCCCTGCACAGGGAAATTTTTAGTGTTTGGTGTTTTATCACATTATTATTATTATTCTGTTGGGAACCACCCAGAGTGGCTGGGGAAACCCAGCCAAATGTGCTTGGTATAAATAATAAATTATTATTATTATTATACGATATTTCAACTCCCACCGGCTAAGGGTGTTTTTTATTTCCCCTCCTCCTGTTCCTGTGAACGTCTAAAAAAGCTTCTCTGACACACCATTATTTTTTTAAAAACAGCACGTCCTTTGTTTTTGTCCAGGCCTCTTTCTTGTGCAGGGCAATTATTATTATTATGCTTTCTTCCCGCACAGTTTTGCCTATATATGAGGCGCCCTACTTATCTATCAATAATAATAATAATAATAATAATAATAATAATAATTTATTTATATCCCGCCCTCTCCAGCCGAAGCCGGGCTCAGAGCGGCTAACAAGAATAAAACAATACAACATTCTAAAATCATTTCATTATAAAATCAGTTCAAATCAGATTAATGGCAACCATTGTATTTAGATTTATACACCGCCTTTCCCTCACACGCCCTCAGGGCGGCTCACCACCTCTCCTCAGCCCCCTTTCCCGCCCTTTCCTTCCCGCCCTCCGCATACTCGCTCCTCCCCCTTTCCCCTCACCGTTCTATTGCGCTTCGGGGCGCGCGCGCGCGCGCTGTTCTGCCCTCTCCTCCTCCCTCCCCCGCCCCTGTGAGACTTCTGCTCTTCGGCGCTCGCGCCTGCCTCCCGCCCCCGCCGGCCTGACGTAGGCCGATCACGTGCTTCTCCTACCCGTTCCCGCCGGGCTTTCGCCCCCCCCCCCCGCGGAGGAAGCTCGCTCGTCTCGCGTTGTCCCGTCCGTCGTCTCGCGCCTCTCCCGCCTCCCTCCTCCTCCTCCCCCCGCCCTCCCCGCTTGGTTAGTTGCTGCTGCTGCTGTGCCACCGCCGCATCCGGGTCCTGGCGCCGCTCGCTGTCACTATGGTCATGGCGGAGGGGACGGCTGTGCTGAGGAGGAACAGGCCGGGCACCAAGGCCCAGGTAAGCCCGGCGCCCGCTCGATGGGTCCCTGGCTCCGGGTGGGAAGCGGGGTGCCGGAGGAGGGGGCCCCGGTGGCGCGGCAGGGGGGTGACGGGGGCCCAGAAGCCGGCGGCGGCCGAGGCCTACTCGCTCTCCGCCTCGCTCCGTTCCCCGGGGAAGTGCAATGAGGCGCCGCCGCCGCCGCCGCGAAGGGGAAAGTAACGCGAGGGTAGGATGTTCCCCTCAAAATGGCAGGCCGCGCTATTTTTTTGGGTGTTGGTGGGGAGGGTCGGGGGTTCAGGCAGGGTCCTGATCCGGCGTTGACCAAAAAGTGGTGGGCGGTTCTTCCCCTCCCCCCCCACCCCCGTGTACTTCGCGAACGTCTGAACGCCCCGCTGCGGCCTTGCGTGTCCTGCGGCTCGAGCAGGGATTTCTGGAAAGGGAGGAGAATAAGAGGGAGTTGCGGGGAAGGGACGTGGGTTGTGGGGGTTTTTTTTTCCAAAGCAGCTGCTTCGGAAATAAAAGAGAATTTAGGGACGTGACGTTGGTTAGGAAAGGAGGGTTTAAGGTAAAGGGGAAAGAAACGGCGTGTAACCTGTGCAGGGAGGAAAGAGGAAAAAGAGGGTGTTTGGGGGAGAAGAATATAGGGGCGCAGGGAAGAGTTTGACGGAGTTGGTTGCCCCACGGAGAGAGAGTCCATGGGGTGGGGTCTTGGGAAGGTGACTTCAGGTGCTGGGTGAAGATGGGGAAGATTGCGTGTAAAGGGGGCAGTGACTTCATGAATACAGCTGGGAGGAGTTGGAGGGTGGTGGTTGGAGTAGAAGCTGTCTAGCCTGTATTTTTCAGGGCTGGTGCCTGTGAGGTTGCTCATATACTTGCTGTATTTTTTTTTTAAAAAAATGCATATTTGGCAGAGATTCGTGTTGACATTAATCTTGCCTGCTGTAATTAAGACCCAGGTTACACCTATCTGTGTTTAACCTTTCAAAGCAGTTGGTGTTACTGTATTGAGAAATGCGAATCTTTTTTGTCTTGTACTCTCCCTCTTCTCTGTGTATTGCTTTAACTGCTGTCTTGAGTATTTGTGTTCCAGCCATTTCCTCTCAAAACTGGATGCAACTTGTACTGATGTATGTTTTGTCTTATTTGTTTTCCCCCACTTGCCATCCTTTTATAGTAGCAGTTCATGTAGTGTATACATATAAATTTAGTCCATCTTGGCAAGTTAAAAAGTATAGGTAGTATTACCCTCTTTTTTTCATAGGCTGAACTGCTGATAAATAAAACAAGCACAGCAATTTGCATGGCCAAACTTGGCCCTTCAGATGTTTTGGGACTACAGTTCCCATCACCCCGACCACTGGTCCTGCTAGCTCGGGATGATGGGAGTTGTCCCAAAACATCTGGAGGGCCAAGTTTGGCCATGCCTGCAAGTTTTGACTATTCAAGTCAAATTCTTGGCTATAAATTATATGTATTTGTTGTATCGTTGGGACTCTTGTATACAGCAAAGTGCCTTATTTTGACTGAAGGAAATAACCTGGAGGCAAGTAAGTTCATTTTATAATTTAGCTTAAAGAAAACATTTGTGAAGTTATCCTAGGATAATACCAGAGGAATGCACCAACTGAAAAGGGTGTGTGTGCATGAAATGCCCAGTAATAAGTGGGTTCTATAGCAAACTAAATAGATAGGTACATTCATCGTGAAGGATTGCATATCATATGCAGCATTGAGATGTTGGTGTCATACAAATGGCTGGATACTAAATTAGATATGACTCCTGTTGTTATTTTCAAGTTATTCCCCTTACTGCTAAAATTATGTAGCCAGGCCTTTTTAAAATACAGTAAAGGTAAAGGTACCCCTGCCCATACGGGCCAGTCGTGTCCGACTCTAGAGTTGTGCACCCATCTCACTTAAGAGGCCGGGGACCAGCGCTGTCCGGAGACACTTCCGGGTCACGTGGCCAGGGTGACGAAGCTGCTCTGGTGAGCCGGCACCAGCGCAGCACACGGAAACGCCGTTTACCTTCCCGCTATAAAGCGGTACCTATTTATCTACTTGCACTTTAGGGGTGCTTTTGAACTGCTAGGTGGGCAGGAGCTGGGACCGAAATATGGGAGCTCACCCCGCCGTGGGGATTCGAACCTCCGACCATGCGATCGGCAAGCCCTAGGCGCTGAGGTTTTACCCACAGCGCCACCCGCGTCCTTTAAAATACAGTATTTCTGTGTAAAGTATTGGTCATCATTTTTCTGTGCAAATTAAATCTTATGACTTGCGTCTTTATAGTGCCTTCTGGTAAAGCATTAAGGCTTGAATAAAGTAGCAGGAAAACTTTGACATACTTGGGTTATTTTTCGTCCACCATCAGATTGTAGCTTCCTTTAATGAATAGTGAAAAAATTATGATGTTAGTCATTTTCATGTATGTTCTTATCTATAGCATTACTCTTTTTCAGTAACATGGTGTTTTTTCCAGTTGAAAAGATTCATGAGTCATCCTCTTGAGAAAGCTGTGGGAGACATACCTTAAATGTCTCCTGTAAAAGGGGTGTGGGCTGATAACTGTCAGTGTATTATGTAAAGGCAGATAGATAGATGGATAGATAGATTTAGAAAAGATTGCAAACTTTTTTGAGTTTCTCCTGGCACATCTTAAAATTCAGTGCATCCATTTAGAGCAAACAAGGACAGACTATAGCACTGTAAAGAACTGGAATTATTACCGTTATAGTTATTCAACCTGTTTCATTAAAAGTACTTATAGTCAAAATGCCCATCACAGAAAACTAGTTTACCATTGACTACTGGGATATTGGAAACTCTGTATTGCAGCCCTGAACATTTTTTGGCATGGAGTTAAGTTCTATTGAAATAAATAGCACTATATCCAAAACCAAAGAATTTAGGATTGCAGTCTAATAGCCCGGCCCTGTGCATGTACACTGCCAGGTAAGTTTCACTGGTTTGTGTGACTTCTCTATAAGTGTGCAAAGTTGCAGCTGACATTTTGTAGTCACTGAGGACAATTAGGTGATAGGTGAACATGTCTCAGCAGAATAACTAAGATATTTTCTCTCTCTCCCCCCCCCCCCGCCCCTTGCAATCTGTAGTGAAATATTTAGAATGCTGCAGTTGGCTACACTACTTGCTTTGCTGGTCGATAAGTATATCAGATGGGATACAGAGACTGCTACATCATTGCAGTGTCATGGCTTGTGGTATTGCACTGATGTCATTACCTGACCCTGCTGTAAGTGTAGGTTGCATATTGCTGCCTTGGCAGTAGCTACTTTTACTAGATCCCCACATTCAGCTAGTTGCATTAACTCAGAATTGGACAATAGAGATGGTGAAATTAGGGATATCCTGAAGGACTTTACAGTCTTGTTGGAACAGCTGAGCATTCCTAATAATAGAATGGAATTGCACTCGGACGTTTACGCACAACTGCACAGTATACAGCTATGTCTGTTCTGTTTTGATGTATAGCATTCTAAGTGCGCTTGGAGTAATGAATATCTTTTGGACTGGAATCTTTCTGTTTTTCTTCAGTTTGCTTTAAGTCTTTTTTCCCCCTTACTATTTTAGGATTTTTATAATTGGCCTGATGAATCATTTGAAGAAATGGACAGCACATTGGCAGTTCAGCAGGTAGATCATATTTAATTTCATTGTGTCCACCTCTCCCCTCCCCATTTCATCTATTTCTGCTTCTTGCTGTTTGTTAATTGCCTAGAATATATATCAGTGCATTTCTATAGTTACAAAGACAATTTTACTTGTCGTGTGTAAAGAGCAGCTCTGGTTGTTTGTGATAGGTTAGCCTTTAGCACACCAGGAAGACAGTGGTGTTCCATGCATGCTGTTACTTAGCTTTCTTTCTTGCAATTATAGTTGGGTTTGTTCGATCCTCAAATGCCTTCACAGTAATAGCCTTTGGACCACTGAGCCCATGTTCCTTCTAAGACAGGGGTCAGCAAGCTTTTTCAGCCGTGGGCTGGTCTACTGTCCCTCAGACCATGTGGTGGGCCGGACTATATTTTGAAAAAAAATAATGAACGTATTCCTGTGCCCCACAAATAACCCAGAGATGCATTTTAAATAAAAGGACACATTCTACTCATGTAAAAACACACTGGTTCCCGGACCATCTGCAGGCCGGATTGAGAAGGCGATTGGGCCGCATCCGGCCCCCAGGCCTTAGGTTCCTACCCCGTTCTAATGTGTCAGTATTACATATTGTGCTTCCAGTAACAGTTGCTCTTCCATTTTGGAACATTGGAGGCCCAACATTAGAACGGGGTGCAGATTAGAGTAGATGTTGAGGATGTGCGAGGGTACTGCAGGGGAAAGGATAAGGGAAGATTTATTGTGCTATCAGAAGTCTGCTGTGCAACAGCACTGGATCCAGCCCTAACAATGTGTGTTGAGAAATTTCTACAACAAACTTTACCACAGTCTTGAACACACTTGAATTTATGTCTGACATTATTATTAACATCAGTGAAATGTATCTTATTTAAATATTTCTTTCCTCTAGTATATCCAGCAAAACATAAGGGCAGATTGTTCAAACATCGACAAAATTCTTGAACCTCCAGAAGGACAGGATGAAGGTGTTTGGAAGTATGAACACTTAAGGTATGATCTGTGCTGTAAAAAATAAATAAATGTTTGAGCTTAACTGAAACGGGTCTCTGAAAAAAGGCCTTGGGGCCTTCATCCTTGAATGAGTGCCTGCTTGGTATTGTCCAAGTCATTGTCCGTATCCTAAGAAGAAATATATTTTACGGTTAAACATACTTGTTTCTGTCACTACCAAAGCCATTTTGATTAAATTCAAATTTCTCATGATATACTCAAGTTTACAGACCGGGGTGGGGGGCGGACTTCAGGCCAAGGGTCAAATACAGCCATCTTGGATTCTCTAGCCAGCCAGTTTTTGTGTGATTCCCACCCACCCCACAACCGCACTTTAATTCCAGAAATAACAAATTACGGTTTCAGGATTCTGAACCTACTGCTCTCCAGATATTTGGTCAGCCCCAGCCAGAATAGCCAATGGTCAGGGATGATGGGAGTTGTAGTCCAGAACATGTGAAGGACACCAAGTTAGAGAATGCTAAATGACAGCATTTATAATGCTAGATATAATCCAAAATATTGTAGTTCATAATCATTGGACTGTGGTGTTTTAATGGGGGAGGGAAGTGATTATCTAACCCAGGCATGTCCAAAGTCCATTTCGGGGGCCTAATCTGGCCTGCTGGTCGGTTTAATCCAGCCCCTGTGGCAGTTTATTTCCTGGGGTAAAATCCTCAAAAAAGGTTAACAACTTTGGTCGGCCCTTTGGTTGGCCCTTACAGCGCTTCACTTCACCAAATCTGGTCCTCTTTGAAAAAAAGTTTGGACACCACTGAATTCTAACCTTCTGTGTTCTAAAATTTTAGGCAGTTCTGTCTTGAGCTTAATGGCCTTGCGGTTAAACTTCAGGTAATTTATTATTTTATGTTCCTTTTGACAATTAAGAATAACTTTTTTATGTATTTGTGTCTTAATGCTTCATATTGTTCTTCAGTGCTCTGTTTTTTATTAGTTATGGTGGTAGGAATAGAGAGAGAGAGTAATTTGAATGTGAGGTCCTACGCCTGGCGTAATCTTTATTTATTTTACAAATGTTTCAACAGACTGAATGCCATCCGGATACATGCACGCAGATGACAGCAACTGAGCAGTGGATATTTCTTTGTGCAGCCCATAAAACTCCCAAAGAGGTAAGAAAGGAATATAAAAAGCAGCTGCCAAGACTCTTCCCTGCATATCAGCTTCACACAACTGGACCTCCAGCCCTTATCCTGCTACCATTTTCCATTCACTATTTGTCTGTAAGATGGTTCAGTTGTACAGCATGAAGTGGTAAGCACACGTGCAAGTTGGAGATCAGCTATAATTTTCATCTGAGGAGTATACTTGCCTGCCACCATAAGTTACTGTGTACTTGAAATTCGGTAGTGGTAGTACAGTGGTGCCTCGCAAGACGAAAAGAATCCGTTCCGCGATTCTCTTCGTCTAGCGGTTTTTTCGTCTTGCGAAGCAAGCCCATTGACAGCTTAGCCGATTAGCGCTACAGCGGTCTAGCGGCTTTTCGCGATCAGCTGTTAAGCGGGTTATCAGCGGAACAGCTGATAGGCGGCTTAGCGGCTTAGGAAAAGGGGGGGAAAGCGAAAAAAACCCGCGGGGACGCGCAAGATTTTTTCGTCTTGCGAAGCAAGCCCATAGGAAATTCGTTTTGCGAAGCGCCTCCAAAACAGAAAACCCTTTCGTCTAGCGGGTTTTCCGTCTTGCGAGCCGTTCGTTTTGCGGGGCACCACTGTAGTAGATACAAGTATCATTCCTTCAAACCACGTCACCATAGCAGTCATGGTTCAATTTAATTTGCTCCTGGCCCACAGCTGTTGAATCTTGACATCATCTTATGACAAACTTAGTTTTCTAGCCATGACTGCACATTTTACTGGGTTTTTAAAAAGGTTTTCATCAGTCTTTTCCAAGCCAAGTACTAATTTGTTTTTCTGCATAAGAACTTGGGTAGTTTTGCTTTTTTTTAAAGAGTAATAAAAGCAAGCAGGCTTCCCCTTTACCTGTAGCATGTTGTTCAGAGCCTTCACACTGGAATAGTAATAGTTCGTGAAAAGACAAATATGTTCAGACACTTCCATGGATAAGCTCTTACTGAGCATTTACACAAGAATATATACAGAAATAGCTGAGGGGATTTGGTCCAGAGATGGATTGTGATTGCCAGTTACAGCCTTTGGATGTAGTGATAGACTCCAGGTGACTCCAGTCAGTTCTGATGATTGAATTCCTTATATACTCTTTGTTTTTCCCTCCCCCTGGATTAGTGAAACATTTCTATCCCTTTGTGATAATGTGCACAGTGTTGACAAATTCTAAATTTCAGTTCCAGTGTTAAAACAAAAACCTATTAATTTACAGCCCATATTCATCTTACAAATAGCAACTTGGAACAATCTCTCTTCGGCACACAGTCTTGTCAGGGTGGTGCAACCTCCAACTTTCATTAAATTTTAGATTTTGTATGTTTGACAGAAAATTCCAGCATCCTGTAAGCCTTTCAGCAAGCAAGACGGAAAACCTCTGGCTTTTAGGTCAGACTCAGGACAGCCAGGTCAGGAGATCACAGGGCTTTTATATCAAATATAGTGTGAATATATAGGGTAATAAAGGGTAATAAATCCAGGTACTTGCTCCTATAATCCCTTAGTTTGTTTTCTTTTTCTCTGTTGCTCACCAAGCAGAACTCCAGGAATAAGTCATCCACAGATCAGGCACATTGTTGAGGACTTAAACCAGGGGTCAGCAATTTTTTTCAGAAGGGGGCCGGTCCACTGTCCCTCAGACCTTGTTGGGGGCCGGACCATATTTTGAAAAGAAAAGAAAAGAATTCCTATGCCCCACAAATAACCCAGAGACGCATTTTATATAAAAGCACACATTCTACTCATGTAAAAACACCAGGCAGGCCCCGCAAATCACCCAGAGATGCATTTTAAATAAAAGCACACATTCTACTCATGTAAAATCACGGTGATTCCCGGACCATCTGCAGGCCGGATTTAGAAGGTGATTGGGCCGGATCTGGCCCCCGGGCCTTAGTTTGCCTACCCATGGCTTAAACTAACCACGTGTCATGTATTTCAGGAGATAATTATACAGGTTATGAGTATATAACAATACACAACTTTATTACTTTTTTTAGATACCACAAAGGCATTAGACAGGGTCAAATTGACTTGCTTGCTTGCTGTCATGGAAGCCTTTAATCCATTTTATCTCTATTCTGCATCATCAGCAAGAATACTGGTGAATAGACAATTAGAGGAACAAGACCGGGTTGCCTGTCTCACTTCTATTACTTGTATTGTTGATAGAGCCACTCACTACAGCAAAATGGAAAGATCTGTGGTGTCAGGTTGAAAGCAGGGCAGATCTGGACTGCACTATATCTAGATGACATAATTTTATCCTTGGAAAAATATGCGTTTCAGACCATAGAAAACTCTGGTGCTATTTTGGGATATAAGATAAACAGGCAGAAAGTGTGTGTGATTATGATCTGGATATAACAAAGAAACAAGCTAGATATCTAGGAATAAAGGTGGTGTAGATAGCCAAAGGACTGAGAAAATTACTAGCCATTGGATCAGGAGGTAAAACTAGATTTAGAAAGATGGAAGAAATGAGTTTCTCTTGGATGACCAAAGTAAAATATGATCAAGCAGTTTTATGAAGGTTTCTATTTTTGTCTATTTCATTGTGAGTATTGCTTGATTTGCATGAATAGAAAAGCAGAGAATTTTGGTAACTATATGTCAGGATGTACACCAATAATAGAAACTAATACCTCCAATCAGACAGGAGGACAAGCAGTTACAAATTTATTGTCATTTTATGAAGCTGCTCAATTGAATTGGCTAAATGTATGGTTATTAAGGGACGCGGGTGGCGCTGTGAGTTAAGCCACAGAGCCTAGGGCTTGCTGATCAGAAGGTCGGCGGTTCGAATCCCCCCAACGGGGTGAGCTGCCGTTTCTCGGTCCCTGCTCCTGCCAACCTAGCAGTTTGAAAGCACGTCAAAGTGCAAGTAGATAAATAGGTACTGCTCCAGTGGGAAGGTAAACGGCGTTTCCGTACGCTGCTCTGGTTCACCAGAAGCGGCTTAGTCATGCTGGCCACATGACCAGCTGTACGCCGGCTCCCTCGGCCAGTAAAGCGAGATGAGCGCTACAACCCCAGAGTCGGTCACAACTGGACCTAATGGTCCCTTTACCCTTTACCTTTACCTTATGGTTATTACAAACTAAGGATAAAGGTGTATACTAACTGGAATAGCTTTATATCAATACTTACTTAGGATTATTGGTGTGGGTGTCAAGGAAAGAAGAGAACATCTGATTATACAGCAAGTTTTTATAATATGGAAAAAGGAAATACAGTGGTGCCTCGCAAGACGAAATTAATTCGTTCCGCAAGTTTTTTCTTCTTGCGAGTTTTTCGTCTTGCGATGCACGGTTTCCCATAGGAATGCATTGAAAATCAATTAATGCGTTCCTAGGGAAACCACCTTCAGACCAGGTCCGGGGACAGTCTGTTCCCCGACCTCTTCTGAAGGCTGGGGGGGGGGGAACAAGGGCTTTTTTCCCACTGCCAGCCTTCAGAAGGCTGTTCTGAAGGCTGGCGGTGGGAAAAAAAGCCCTTCTTCCCACCTCCTGCCCCGCAAGCTCCGGGGACAGGAGGGCTTTGCTGCCGACCGCCAGCATTTTAAAAGCCCCTGCTGTCCCGGGGCGATTTTAAAATGCTGGCGGGCGGGAGCGAAGTCTCTGCTGTCCCGGGGAGATTTTAAAATGCTGGGGGGCGGGAGCGAACGCTTCGCTCCCGCCCGCCAACATTTTAAGATCGCCCGGGGCAGCAGAGACTTCTCGCCCAAAGCAAGGGGAGCTCTCCGAAGGGCTCCCCGTGCTTCGGGCGACAGGCTGCCGCCCCAAGCCTCGCGCACCCGGCGGGACCTCCTGCCGGGTGCGCGAGGCTTGCAGACACTCGCCCAAAGCAGGGGAAGCCCTCCGGAGGGCTCCCCGTGCTTCGGGTGACAGGCTGCCGCCCCAAGCCTCGCGCACCCGGCGGGACCTCCTGCCGGGTGCGCGAGGCTTGCAGACACTCGCCCGAAGCAGGGGAAGCCCTCCGGAGGGCTCCCCGTGCTTCGGGCGACAGGCTGCCGCCCCAAGCCTCGTGCACCCGGTGGGACCTCCTGCCGGGTGCGCGAGGCTTGCAGACACTCGCCCGAAGCAGGGGAAGCCCTCCGGAGGGCTCCCCGTGCTTCGGGCGACAGGCTGCCGCCCCAAGCCTCGCGCACCCGGTGGGACCTCCTGCCGGGTGCGCGAGGCTTGCTGACACTCGCCCGAAGCAGGGGAAGCCCTCCGGAGGGCTTCCCCTGCTTCGGGCGACAGGCTGCCGCCCCAAGCCTCGCGCACCCGGCGGGACCTCCTGCCGGGCGCGCGAGGCTTGCAGACACTCGCCCGAAGCAAGGGGAGCTCTCCGAAGGGCTCCCCGTGCTTCGGGCGACAGGCTGCCGCCCCAAGCCTCGCGCACCCGGTGGGACCTCCTGCCGGGTGCGCGAGGCTTGCTGACACTCGCCCGAAGCAGGGGAAGCCCTCCGGAGGGCTCCCCGTGCTTCGGGCGACAGGCTGCCGCCCCAAGCCTCGCGCACCTGGAGGGACCTCCTGCCGGGCGCGCGAGGCTTGCAGACACTCGCCCAAAGATTTTAAAATGCTGGGGGTCGGGAGCGAAGCGTTCGCTCCCGCCCGCCAGCATTTTGAGATCGCCCGGGGCAGCGGAGAAGTCTCCGCTGTCCCGGGAAGGCAGGCGGGGGGGAGCAAAGACTTTTGCCCCCCGCCGGCCTTCAGAAGAGGTCCAGGACCTCTTCTGAAGGCCGGCTGTGGGCGAAAGTCTTTGCTCCCGACCGCCAGCAATTTAAAACAGGTCCCCGGAGATTTCCCTATGGGCTTTCGTCTTGCGAAGCAAGCCCATAGGGAAATTCGTCTTGCGAAGCGCCTCCAAAACAGAAAACCCTTTCGTCTTGCGGGTTTTCCGTCTTGCGAGGCATTCGTCTTGCGGGGTACCACTGTAGAGTGTGTACATTTATCTGTTAGGCTCTCTATGAAGGCATAGTATTAGGTTTCTTAGGGGAAATGGACCAGAAGATTCTGAAAGTTAGGGAATTCATGGTGTATCTTATTTAGGCCATTGGTAGGGAATGGGGTTATGAAGGTATGAAATTACTCAAAAAGGAGTTTGGACATTTTTACGGTTTCCATACTTCAATTTAAGGATTTTTGAGGGGGGAGGGCATCACAACTACATTAAGACAGTTGTCATTTTGACAGCGTGAAGAAAAAGTCAAACGGCATGTCAACAAAAAACTACAAAGTACTTTTGGATTTAGGAAGAAGGATCACTATAATGAGCATTAGGTAGGAAACGGGTCTTGATTTTTCTATCCCAGGAGAAAAATGGAATGAGATCTGGTGGGGTCTTTTTTTTAAGTCTCTCATTGAGTCTGTCAGTATGAGAAGTGGCAGAATTGTCAGATGGCATCTGATTTTAGGATGTGTAAATAATACATAGCATGAATTAGATTGAGGAGGATATTGCATGGGGAGTGACATTTAAAAATAAAATTGGCAGCTAAAATCTTGTGTCCGTATTTTGGCTATATGGAAATGGCTAGTGAAGTGTCTAGAGCTCGAAGAGATGGGCCAAGTAACTGACTTGATTCACAGGAGTAATTGTAGTTCCCAGAATATTATGTTTGTTTGATAAATGGGACCTTTTAAAAATAATTAGAACAGAATATCAAGGGAAGCGCAAGGTTTGACAGGAGTTTATTTTTTGGAAATGAGTTTTGTAATCGTTACATGGGTGAATAAATAAGAGTATGCTACTGTGACTCTGTGTGTGTCACTCTCATGCCAGTTCTTAAGAGGAATTACACGCAGTGTGACAATCTGCTCCTGTTTTTAGATGTCTGAGTCAGTAGGTATGATCTTTTGTGTTCTTACTTCAGTAATAGTGTCTACTTTGCCAATTGTTTTGACGGTTTCTTTTTTCCGACCTTGAACCATTATCTGAACAGTTTTCATAGAATCCTAGAATTGTATTGTTTCTTAATTGGAGTATACATAATATTCTGAGTGTTTTCATACAAAAGCTCATTCCCCTAAAGCAAGACAACCTTTCCCCCTTAGTATGCCATCTTACTTTATGGGTGTAGCATCAGAGCTAGTAATAACTTCAGATGACATTCAGTTATGCCCACCCGCTTGTATAATGGGAATCTGATTGTGCAAAAGGATTTCCAGTTTCTCTTCTCTCTTTCTTGGGTCCTTTCTAGTGTCCTGCCATTGACTACACCAGACACACATTGGATGGAGCTGCATGTCTTCTGAATAGCAATAAATATTTTCCCAGCAGGTAAAGCTCTGTGTGAATCTGCTTGCTTTTTGAAATATTCATGATTGGTTCTGAATAATAATAATAATAATATTTTATTATTTATACCCCACCCATCTGGGCTGGGTTTCCCCAGCCACTCTGGGCGGCTCCCAACAGAATATTATTATTATTAATAATAATAATAATAATAATAAAGTGACAAAACTTCAAACATTTAAAAACTGCCTTCAGATGTCTTCTAAAAGTCAGATCGCTGTTTATTTCCTTGACATCTGATGGGAAGGCATTCCACTGGGCGGGCCGCCACTACTGCAAAGGCCCTGTAGCTTCACTTCTTGCAGTGAGGAAACCGCTAGAAGGTCCTTGGAGCTGGACCTCAATGTCAGGGCTGAATGAATCTATACATAGATTTGGTGAACAAATTGCCAGAAATAATTTTTACATGGATAATATATGAAAGTAATACTGTCAACCATCATTAAACATTTAGTGCAACAATAGCAGAAGTAAGGTCCATGTATAATTTTTTTTTAATTGCTTACAGGGTTAGTATAAAGGAATCCTCCGTAGCCAAACTAGGATCGGTCTGCCGTAGGATTTACAGAATATTTTCACATGCATATTTTCATCATCGCCAAATATTTGATGAATACGAAGTAAGTACTCTGATACTACAGCTGCAATTCTATACCCACCTGCTTGGGAGTAGATAGAGGATTGTGTTATACATACCTTAATATGGTATTGAACTAGAGGTCATGTTGCAATTGGTCAGAGAGTCCTGCTCTTTTTGACACTTTGTTTTAGTACCAGCATTTATTTCTGAACTCAGCTGAAACTGAGTTGTTCTTAGAGACCACTGCTGAGTCTCATTTTTTGCTTCAAAATGTGGTATGTGTAGAAATTATGTTTAGCTTGTGGAAAGTGGGTGGCGCTGTGGTCTAAACCACTGAGCCTCTTGGGCTTGCTGATTGGAAGGTCAAATCCCCGTGACAGAGTGAGCTCCCGTTGCTCTGTCTCAGCTCCTGCCAAGCTAGCAGTTTGAAAGCACACCAGTGCAAGTAGATAAATAGGTTCCGATGCGGAGGGAAGGTAAACGGCGTTTCCGTGCGCTCTGGCACTCGTCACAGTGTCCCGTTGCGCCAGAAGCGGTTTAGTCATGATGGCCACATGATCCAGAAAGCTGTCTGTGGACAAACGCTTGCTTCTTCGGCCTGAAAGCAAGATGAGCGCCGCAACCCCATAGTCGCCTTTGACTGAACTTAACCATCCAGGGGTCCTTTACCTTTTACCTTTTACTCCAAAATATCCAAAACTCCAGACAGATTCCAGTGAGAGTAGGTGAATATTGGCTCTTCTTAACATACTTAGTGTGCAGTGTTTTGTCTGAGATAGGCAGTGGGACTTAAAGTTTCACGTGCCTCAGATCTGAAAGCAAATTATGTTTCTTTCTTCCTAGTATATTTAAGTGTGCACTACCTTGTTGCATAGGGACGCGGGTGGCGCTGTGGGTTAAACCACAGAGCGTAGGACTTGCTGATCAGAAGGTCGGCGGTTCGAATCCCCACGACGGGGTGAGCTCCCGTTGCTCAGTCCCAGCTCCTGCCAACCTAGCAGTTCGAAAGCACGAAGTGCAAGTAGATAAATATGTACCGCTCCAGCGGGAAGGTGAACGGCGTTTCCATGTGCTGCTCTGGTTCGCCAGAAGCAGCTTAGTCATGCTGGCCACATGACCAGGTAGCTGCACCCTCGGCCAATAAAGCGAGATGAGTACCGCAACCCCAGAGTCGGTCACGACTGGACCTAATGGTCAGGGGTCCCTTTACCTTTACCTACCTTGTTGCATAAACCCTATCCTTTAGATTCAGCAGAAATGTTTCCATGTAGTAAGCAATAATTCAGATGATTTGACAATAGTGCAACAATCCTTATTTGTTACAACTGTCTACCTAACTAGGATTCTGTGTATGAAACTGTGCAGTAGCATCCCAGACTTACTTCTGTCTGCCTGATTGACCCCCTGCTTTTGTGAGCAGGAAGAGTCTGAAGAGCAGAGTGTTGATCAAGCATCCTGATGGGCCTTTTCTCCTACACGGAAGTCTCCATATAGAAAATTATAACATGGTCATGATTAATTTTGAATAACTTCTTTCCCAAGTCTGTATTTCACGCTGTGTGTGTATGTGCGTATATTAATGCATTTTTTATTTTTCTGTCTTAAGAATGAAACCTTCTTGTGTCACCGGTTTACCAAATTTGTGATGAAATACAACCTGATGTCCAAGGATAACCTGATCGTACCAATTTTAGAAGAGGAGGTGCAGAATTCAGTTTCTGGTGAAAGTGAGGCATGATGAGTGTCGTGGACTGAATGATTCCATAATTAACATTGTGTACTGTATATATCATTTAGAAACGTCAATCATGTATCCTTAGAGCTTTGTTTAGTATACTTTTTCGTATGCTGTGTGCGTTGCCTCTTAATATGGAATATGGTTTAAGTTATTCATGAGCTGTATATTCTTCAATGTGGCACTCATGGTTTTTAAATAAAATTAGAATTATCTGTTTATACTGCCTGTTAATAAAAGAATTTACAGTTCTGTAAAATTGCTGCTAAACAATCATTGGATCACAATCTTCAGACCTTGTCCAGTTTAAATCTGAAGCTTCCTATATACTGATGAAGTTGGAATTTTAGCCTTAGTTTGACTAACACCAGAAGCTTGCAAGTCCATTTAACTCTTTACGTTTTGTATTTTATAGAAAGTACCCTTGTTTTAGTGCCCAACTTTTGCTTTTTTGGGTGTGCGCATATATAGCGTCTAAACTCTTGTAGTATGTGTGTATCCAAATATTCATTATTACAGTATTAATACCAAAAGGATAACACTTATTATACTGCCAAAAGTGTATTCTAGATTTTTTCTTTATGGACTTGCCTTTCTGTATCGGTGGAGACTTGTGTATTGCAAAAGGCCGTATGTTCACTTTAGTCACCTTAAGGCAAAGATTCCCCTCTGTGTTTTCCTTCCTGCACCTCTTGCCAGTGGGTAAAAGCAATTTGTGTTCCGTTCTGCCTACAGTAAAGTGCTCTGTGGCTTATACCTGTGCATATTTATAATAATTGCTTACAGGTGATACCTTGCATTAAAAGTTCATTTTACACTACTGCAGAGTGTGCCAAAATGGCCTTGCTCATTTGTAACAAAAGGGTTCTGTGGAATTTTGAGCCCTACTCATCACAGTACATGCAGCTGGAGATTCTGTCTTACCTTTCATCCATGCAAATACCACCTGCTTTATGTTCCAGTAATTGAATTCCACCCCCCACCCCAAAATCTTAAGTGTATGTTCCTTAAATAGCATTTGCAGGTTTGCGTTAGTGTATATGAATGCAGAAATCTAAAAGCACTAGCAGTGATCAAATGGACTTGGAGAGATTTTTTATTTTTATTTTTTTGAAGTGGGTGTATTCTCCATTCACATTAAAACATTAACCAGTGCCCCTTGATCTGTTGAAATGGGCAAGTTTCGGCTTTTATGTTGCCAAGCTGACTTCACACACACACACACACACACACACACACACACACTTCATTTTGAAGAGTGCTCATTAACGCAGAATGAAAGGTGCAAATTTATTTCCTAATATTCATAATTTGTGTTTCAGATTAGCATTGTGTACATGCCTTAACGGGAAAAAAATATATATATTTCAAATTGGGCCTATCTAACAGCAAGAATGCCACCTTACATCCCTTTACAGGAGAAGGGACACTTAGCCCCACTTGCTTTTAACAGGGCTATGTTGGTGGCAACTTTGTTGAGAGGTTCTGCCCCTCTGTGCTGTTCTTACTTTTCAATTTAAAATATGGTTTTAATGGATAACAGGGTCATCACATCTGATGTGTTCTTAGCAACAGCTAGTTATGTCAGTTCACCCAATGTAAGGCCTACCTTGAGTAATGTAGATGCGATGGATACCTCAAAGCAAGTGGCTAAAGAATTTCCCTTTCAGAGGTAGCAGGATATATATGGTTATTGTCAGAAATGGCTGATTCAGGGCAGCCTCCCCCAGCCGGAAAATGAAATGGCACCATTAAGCATTTCTGTGAAAGTCCGTGGTGCTTGAGGCTGCAACAAAATCTCAACACATCTCCATATTATTCTGGTGTATGCCTCTAAAATGGCTCATCTTGTTTTTAGCAAATAAATCCAGTTCTGCACTGTAAACTTGACTTCATATAATCAAGTTAAGTAACTGGGGCACTACTTGTAACCTTTAATGCTGTTGACTCGAGTACCTCTGATAATGTGTGCACACATGTGCCTGGCTGATACTGTAGAACTTCAGTAAGCATAAGTGAACTATTGACTTTGTATGGTAAATATATATTGAGGGTTTAACTTACATTCTGCATTATAGGGAAACTGAGATGTGTCTGTCTTTTGAATTACATTGTAAAAAAAAAAGTAGAGGTTGCAATTAAATCTTTTTCTTTTTCCATACCAGTCTATTTTGCTAAATTGTTTTGAAATTATTTTAATCAAGAGAGTTGCTGAAGTTTCATACATAGAATTCCTTGGTGTAGCCAAAGAGTCTGTATTAATTGAGTTCACTGGAGATGACTTGAATGTGTTGTGTCTTACTTGCAGAGGATTCATTAGAAATAAAGCTATCTGGAGGATTTTCCCATAAAGGAAATAATCAGCTTCAGAAGACCAATGTTCGTCAGAACTGCTGCAGGGGTGGAAAGGGTCGAATTCCCACCCCTTGACTGCTCTGATCCAGTTAATTATCACTCCTGCTGATGCAATTTGTGTTTTTAAAAGCCTGCACAGGGACTTTTAATCTCACATGTATTTTGAACCTTTGTACAATGCAGCATCATATATTCGTAAGGCCTCTACAACGAAAAGTAAATCAAGGCACTGGGTTTAAACCCGTTTATCTCTCTTCTGTCGGTCATGATTTCCAGTCATTCACAAATACCCACCTAATAACACTTATGACTGCACACTATTAGTGATTTGTTTTTAGTACCAATTTTTTATTATAGCGTTTGCACTCTTAACAAGAGGAGAGTTTAAACCTGAAACCTAAAAATGGCACACGGTTCTCTATGTACAGTTTTAATTTGGTGTTAAACCTTATGATATTTAAAACAGTATATTAAGAGAAATGCTGCTGTATTACATTTCAAGCACTTTGCAAAAAGTCTTATGTTTTGCAGAAGAGCAGAAGGCAACACCCTATCTGCAGTTGTTTCCAATTGACAGAAAGATTGCTGAGACGTCATATAGTGCTGTTCTAGAAATTCAAAATCCCAGTAAAACAGACCTCACTCAAAAGTTAGCACTTCCGCCAACACTAAACAAATAAGAGTTGTGCTATTTACCTTTACCTTTTTTATCAGCATATTTACAGAGTTGTGGGGAAGTATAATGTGCACATGTTTGTATAAGACAAAGGGAGAAAATTATACCGACACATATAAAAAGCCAATTCTATTTTTACATTTAAAAAAAATATGTACAGGTCCATCTAATCCATTTTCTGGTCACATGCAAGTGACCTGAGTGACTCCATCTTCTTGGTCAAACTGCCCATCATCTAGTTCCCTTAGTATGCCATCACTGCTGCTGAATCCGGCGAAGCTTTCAAAGTGGACTGCTCTGTCCTTGGGCCAACACTCTGCAGAAGGCGATAGATGAAACTCATCCGTAGCTTGTGTATTTTGTGCAGGCTGGGAAGTAGCTGTGTCTAATCCAACACTTCTGCTGGGAACCTTTCCCTTTTCTTCTCTAAGTTGCTTGGTGGATTTCTTCTGAAATGGAAAAAAAGAAGAATATTTGAATTAAGAGTTCACAGAGGAAGGGAACTGAAAGAATGTGCACTTGGATCTGGGAACAAAAGAATCGAGAATGAAATGGCTGAATATTTGCAGAATTTACAGTCTGGTCCCACGCACTGGTTTCCTGTGCAGTGATAGAAACTTTGACATCTATTGTCTGAAGCGAAAGTTAGCTCCAGTTCTGGCATGCAGCTCCCCATCCCTGTCTTCATAATTATGTGTGGCCAATGCTGGGTAAAGCCAAGTTCCCAGGAGTTTGAAAAGCCTTTAGATGCTGTGCAAGTGAGCTACGGGGGGACCCTGCCAAGTAATAACTTTGCGCCATACTCTTACATTGTAACGGGGACCAAAAATTAATGCAACAGGCAAAGAATCTCACACTCCCAACACCCATTGAAGCTTTCGGATAAAGAATCCTTAATTTGGTCCTGTCTGCATAATGGGCTGGGGCTCAAAAGCATATTTTTGTGATGCTGGAGATGCCGCGATTTTGACCTAGAGGGTTACTTAGAATAATTCTCCAAAGACATTCTTAACCAAGCAGAACATAAAAGTAAGCTCTCAGAGATACGACTTGGGTCTGCATTAGGAATCTAAATCAATACTTCATAGCCAATACTTGAACTGGTATCGGAGCCTCAGGAGCATGGCGTGTGTGATTAGAGCATTGCTCTTCCCACTGGAAAATTGGTTTCCTGTAGCCTCTGTTTAGGGACATGGGTGGCGTTGTGGGTTAAACCACAAAGCCTAGGACTTGCCAATCAGAAGGTCAGTGGTTTGAATCCCCGCGACGGGGTGAGCTCCCGTTGCTCGATCCCTGCTCCTGCCAACCTAGCAGTTCGAAAGCACGTCAAAGTGGAAGTAGATAAATAGCTACCTCTCCGTCGGGAAGGTAAATGGTGTTTCCGTGCGCTGCTCTGGTTCGCCAGAAGTGGCTTAGTCATGCTGGCCACATGACCCGGAAGCTGTGTGCCAGCTCCCTTGGCCAATAAAGCGAGATGAGTGCCGCAACCCCAGAGTCGGTCACAATTGGACCTAATGGTCAGGGGTCCCTTTACCTTTACCTAGCCTCTGTTTAGTACTGAGTGGGCAATTCTAGGAATAAGATTTGTCCTCTTCCCCTTTTCCCCTGAACTCCATGTCATCTACAAAGTCTAAAAACGCCTCGAGAAGACCCATTGAAACCGACGAGTCCCATTGATTTCAATGGGCCTATTCACAAAGGCTGCAATCCTCAACCCTATTTACTTGGGAATAAGTTTCCTTGGATTCAGTGGGACTTACTTCTGAGGAGACATGGTCAGGGTGGCCCTGTAAGCTTGGAGCCACCCCTTTGTCTCATCAAAGTGCCTATAATGGATTAAACAGCATCATTTACAAGGCGCCACAAGGCGGGCAACTTTAGCAACGTAATGGCAGCTGCTAGCTATAGGGGACTGCGATTTGAAAAATGCTTCTAAAGGATCTGAATCAAAAGGGACGGGTGAATCTTTGAAGCACAGAAGAGGAGGGCCGTCTGTCTCTGCCCTTCGGTTTAAATATTCTGTGTCAAATAGCCCTGGGGGTGGGGATCAGCAGTTGTTTGACCTTTGCAGCCTTTGAGGTACTGAGGCATAAGGTTGCCATTCTGTACCCTCTCTTTGATTTCGTTGTAACTGAAAACCTCAGCGACTCCTGGACTAGTATGTGGGAGGTATTTGCCAGAATGGGGCAGCCAGCTGATACCCTTCCTATGCAAAACAGGGCACATTAAAGTACGTAAAAGTTATGGGAGTTCTTAAATGCTTCCTGTGCTGCTTAGCTTATTACATCTCTGGAAGGAAATCTCCCAGAACTTAATATTACTTCGGCATGTAATGCAGTGGCGGTTTAGCCAGAGCGAAGGTTTTTAAACAGAGCTGCTCACCCCCGATCACATTTCTTTCCTTCTTCTGTTTTCCTCATTATAAAAAAGCAGCGAAGGAAGGAAACAGGGAGAGAGAGGGCTGCCAATTCACTGAAGATAATTTTAAATAAATGTTACATTACTGTAATCTAGTTATTTTGTTTTAGGGTTTTTTAAAAAAAATAAAAGTAGGAATAATAAATTTCTTGGGGGCGGTTTGTGCTTGATGCCTCACATTTTAATCTAAAGTCTCTGAGGATGTTATGCACAGAAAGTTGTTAAGGCAATTGCATTAGCACACTGACCTGGGAGCAAACCCCACTGGGACTTAACTGCTGAGTAAACTTGCATTGCACTCTAGGTTTAATAGCTTAGAAGATAACGGATAATGTTAACGAATGTGCCTTTCTGGAGCTCCTTAAAAGGACAGTTTTTCCTGAATGTCAATTTAATATTTTTTAAAAGTTGGCACTTAATGTTAAAAGAAAAGTTTATGCTAACTTAGATCCAACGCAACTTGGTCGCCTGTAGTTATCATTGAAAGGGATTCAAAAAGTCATGATGACTTAAATCCCACTGATTTCAATAGGACCTAAGGCTGCAGTCCTATATACTGGGAGTAAGCCCCACTGAATTAATTAGTACTTGTGAGTAGATATGTGCAGGATTGCAGTGTAAGTGTTCCTAACTTTTTCTGGGCCCATCCAGAATTTGCCTTGAAAAAACTGAGGAATAGGAGATGTTTTCTATTGTGCATGCCATTCATCCTGAATCAGTGAGAGCAACGCATGTGCCCATGGAAACAGGCTTTTGTGCATGCATGGACTGAGAACTGGATGCACTAGACAGTTGCTGATGCCAGAACAGGAATAATGTGCAGCCATCTCTGAATGCTTTGATCAGAGACGGTGTGCAGAAGTTGCGGCAAAAGGTACATTTCATGCTGGGGATCGTTAGGAAAGGAATCCAAAACTGCTGATATCATAACGCTGTTATACAAAGCTATGGTGTGACTCTGCACGGTTCTGGTTCCCTCTCTTTAAAAAGGATATCGAAAAATTGGGGAAGGTTTAGAAAAGGGCAACACAAATGACTGAAGGGATGGGGAAATTCCCCTACGAAGAAAGGTCACCATGTTTGAGACTTTTTAGTTTAGAGCAGGGTTTCCTAAACTTGGGTCGCCAGCTGTTTATATATTTTTATTAAATTTTCTGTTTTACAATTTGGAATATTCGTTTAAACAACCTTAAAATATCAATGACTTTCCTTCTTCACTTTCCATGGTTCATTTTGCATATCATAAATCCCTGCATCTTTTACATAAACAAAACCATTCAGTTTCCCATTATTACACCCATCAAAACTTGTGTACACGGTTGAATTTATCTTAACGCTGCCAATGTTTTCAAGTGTGCACAATTCCCCCCAAATATTCAATAAACATTTTCCAATCTTCTTTAAACGTATGTCCTTTTATTCTGTGTTAGGTCCGCAAGCTGCGCATATCCCACCAATTTAAGTTGCCATTCTTCTTTAGTTGGGACCTCGCTCGTTTTCCATTTTTGGGCTAACAAAACACGGGTCGCAGTAGTCACCAGCTGTTTTTGGACTACAAGTCCTAGCTAGGGATGATGGAAGTTGTGGTCCAAAAACAGCTGGAGCCCTAAGTTTGGGAATACATGAACCTCACTGCCAGAGGTTGCATTTAAGGTACACATAACGGTAGCTTGTGGGACGCGGGTGGTGCTGTGGGTTAAACCACAGAGCCT